GGCCGAAAAGCAGGAAGGAGGAGGAAGTAGGAAGAAGCGGCGCGTGCACTCGCATACGCGCGCGAAATCGCCCGATTAGTATGGCCGCCTGTGAACGAGCCTGTGGGGTTATTCAAATCGGAGAAAACGTGGGATCTTGAATATTCAGCACGTCGCTCACACGGATGTCCTGCGACAGGATAACACCGGATACGGGATCCCGTGCCGGCTTACCAGATAGGAAACACCGCCCTCGCCACCGTTTGCCGAGGATCAGAAAATAATCTCGAACCGAGTGAATTTTCACCACGATCGATTTGTTGAAAAATTTCCGTGTATTCGTTTTATTTAATTAGCATTGGAATTGTATTTGACCGATTGTCCGAAAATTCGTAGTCCGTTCTACTTTCACTATCTTTCTTCCCGAAGTTTTGCTCGACAAATGATAATCCTATACTACTATATTCGTATGCCCGATAAATGATCGATCTATACTATTTATCAGACGCGTGATGTCTGACACGTGACTGATTTGCGTCACTTGTTGTTGTGAAAATGTAAATGGCCTGTTCCATTTACCTTTCAATCTTTCTTCCATGTCGTTTTGACAAACGACTATTCCTTCACGACTATTCGTCTTAAAATGATTATCTTATTCTACGTATCTGACGAAAGATTGATGTATAACATTTGTAAATAAGATCTGATTTACTTGTTGTTGTTGTTGTTGTTGTTGTCTGAAAATGTCTATTCCATTTAGTTTCCTATTTTTCTTCTACGCATTTGACAAATGACACGTCCTTATACCACTTGTCTTAAATCGACTGTTTTATTTTACGAGTCTGACAAATGGTTGACCTAGTTACACTCGCGAGGCCATAATCGTCTCACCACAAAATGCTCTTTCTGCGTATATGTTCTTTTTAAAATCGTAAGTATATTACTAATAAGTGTAAAATAAAATACAATAGAATCGTCAAATAATCGTTGAATATCGGATGACAATCGAGACGAGGAGGGGGAATTAAAGATTCTCGTTTGATTCGATTCTTGATATCACGTGTCGTTAGGCCTATCAGAAATTGATCAGAATGCGAGCTACGCGCGAAGGGATGTAGCCGTTGGGAAATCCGGGCAGACCCTTCTCTGCCGGTTTAATTAATTTATCAAGGCAGACGATGTCCTCTTGATTCGACTCGACGTTCATTATAGATATCCTCGTCGACATTATATACCGACCGTTCGCGCCTTACCTTCTGGGAACTATTCCATTTAAGGCGAGAATAATTTCCTGTAAACCGCGAACCTCCTTTCATTTCCTATCTATCATTTTTTTTCATCTTTTCTCTAGATTCTCGAATTTTTTTGCAATACAACTTTTTCCTAGTAATTTTTTTTTTATAAGTTCTAACGTTTACTTTATTTCCTTATGTTACGTATGTTTAGATAGGGATCGAGGACAAGAAATCTTTTGTCTATTTTATGACATTCATTTGCATCTATCATTTGCACGCCATCTATATAGGTTACGTTTAGCTATTGTTAAACAACTCCATTATCGTGTTGTAAATCATTACTAATCGACTCCCTTTTCGCACTATCTTCAAATCTCTTAAATCTCTCAAATTCCTTGACCTGGAAACATCGATCCAAAATGAGAGAGTTTCGAAAGTTTTCTTGCTTTTTTCGTTGAGACGCGCAGACTATGGAGAGTTTCCTTTCTATTATATTACATTATACTCGATTAAGATGCACGGACCATGGAGAGTGCTCTTTTTATACTGCACGCTTGACCAATCAGAATCGTATTCTAGTACTCCATTCGTTTCTCTATTTAACATTCTTACAGAGAAAAATATTTATTCGAATAATCAAGATCGCTATATCTATTTTCATTCGAATTTCTTACAAAATTACTTATACATGCGGATCATTTTCGCTCACTACCAGAATAAGTTTCCGCTATTCTATTAACGCGGCTCGAGATCCATTCCGATTGTCCCTTCCCCAAGAATTACACCTTCTTCCATGCCGTTTCTCCTCACCATTTTTTCTCCCTCTCCCACTTCACTCCTCTCTCTATTCCTCCATGGTGAAATTACGTTTCACGGGGTCCAAGAAATCTCATTTCCGGGGAACTCGAATGTTATTCTATTTTCCGTCTGTGTCTCTGCACGAGAGCGTCAACGAGTTTTGCGATTCGGCCCGCGGAATAATCCGTTGTTGCAATAAAGGACGTAGAAACGTAAACGAGCCACGATTCAAAAGGAAAAGGTTCCTCCGTCTTTTACCTTGCAAAAACAAATTCGTATCTAATCCACGAACGCTACCATTACGACCGAAAGGGACTTGAATCGACGGCTATCTTTCTGTTTTTTTCGTGAATATTCCACGAGCATTCGGCGTAACGGTCGATCGCATTCTAGCATCGTCTTCGTATGGTGATATGTGTATTTGAACGTGTTCGATGTTTTTTTTTCGATTAATTACGTGCTTTATAGAGTCAGATAGTTAATCAGCGTTAGTTATATATAAATTTCACCAAATCGTGATCAAGCAATACTTACATATCAATGGATAAGATTTTACAAAGTATTGCACATTATTCGCGATGCAAAATTGAACGTGTCAATTAATTATAAATCCCTTCGTGTCGGTGTCATCATCGACCAATACCACTTTCAATCGGTCGGGCACATTACAGAGCAACGCTACTCGCATTCGATCCTTCGATACTTTCCAATATTTATCTCGAACACCGAACAGACACAATATCTACTTGTGGACATCGCCGGAGGGATGGTGTCCAATCAGTGACCCAATAAACTCTTCATTCCCCTATAAACTTCTTACCAACCGACCATCGCGAATATTATAGAGTCACTCCATTTTTCCATTGCACCTGCATCCCTACCACCTTTATTATATCACCGCTTCCAAGCAAACTCGAATTAAGCTCGATTATCGTTTATCATCGATTCGTACTACTTAAAAACCTCTCGGTATCAATACTCGATTCAACAACTTTTTTTCAACCTTTTCACCCCGATGTCCTCGAAACATTCTTTATTCTTTTTCTCCAATTCGCTCCTTTTTCTCTCTCTCTTTACAAACAGGGTTAAAGAGCGGAACAGGAGGAGGTGTTCATTCACGGCTACGATGGAAAAGGTGTTTTCGGCACGAGGCCAGGAGGGGAGGGAGGGGGAACCGCGGGAGAACCGCGCGACTTTAAGTTGCCGGCCGAGGCTTCGAAGCCGACGAAAGTGAAAGCTCCCCCCCTCGTTCTTTCATTAGGGGAGGGGGAGAGACATGCATTTGGAAGAAGGTCGGCGGAACCCTAGAGACCGTGTAATCCCCTTCGAGGGGATGCACTTGATTTTCTTTCGCCTCTCGACCATCCCATCCATCGGGGAGGGGATGGTCTTAACGAAGAGGTCGACGACCCTCCAACCCTTTTCTTCA